TTGTACCCGACTACTGTAAAAATACAATGGTCTACACTTACAGCAGCACTCTAAAATTAGCTTTTTGATTGCTGTTGTATGAAACGAAATATGACATGGTACTTTGCAGTTTTAAGGTTTTACGGTTTTGCAAACTGTCAGGGGTGGGTGCGAAAATGTCACGACCGCCCCGGACGGCACGATCAGTTGCCACGCCACTGCATCCCCCCCCCCCTCCGTCATGCATTCTCATGGGTGGCGAGGCCGTGTTTTGCTAACGCTGGAGTGCGGTAATCGACGCTGATCAGCGCCCAATTTCTATCTTCATTAATGACCTCATGCTTTTCATCGGGTCGAATTTATTGTCGTTGCCGATGATATCAAATGATGGTGGGTGACCGATAAGCAGAAAGATGTGATACAAAGATAGACAGTACTTCTGAGTAGGCAAAGATAAATTTACTCCCATTATATGTGAATAAGTGTAAAGTGGGCAATCCGCCTCATTAGCCAGATAAAACACGTAGACTGGGAGATTGCATCTTAAGGACTGCCTCACAGGAGTATAATCTCAGAGTAGTGACTCAAGATGACCTCGGCTGTCCGAAACAATCCTTGATAGTGCCAAAGACCGGGTCGTTTATGAATGACATTTGGACGGTTTATCCCTTGTAGTAATCAACAGCCAATGCACCACATGTATGCGAGGCCCCATGAGGAGTGCGCAGTTCAGGCCTAGCAAATCCAGCCAAAATGAGATCTGGAAACCTCATAACGATGGGCAACTAAGAACGCAAAGGGCTTATTGCATCTGTCATAACAACTGCGGTTAGAAGCACTAGGAATGTGCAGCGGAAGTTACGGTAATCTACGGGATGACCTCATGTTGGCCTATCAGATTTTGAGAAACACCATTTATCTCTCTCATCTTCTCTTGCAATTTAAATGCAACTTAAATGCAACACGCAAAATGGAGTCACGGAATGAGACGGGTCGCACAGTACAGCCGGCTAGAATGTCGCAGTAAATTTTCCCTCCGAATTTCTCAGCTTTGGAAGTTTCTTCCGACATATGTCATTTCTGCGCGCAGCTTATCTGTTTTCAAAGGAAACGAATTGCTAAAACCCTGTACCATTTGCTTTATGTGCGAAGAGCCGCATTCGTCCGGTAACGACAAACCGCTGACCGTTCTCCCACAGGATCGGAATAATAAGATTTACATGTGCGTCAACGTGAATATTATGGCGAGTCCACGGGTGTTTTGTTTAACTTGTTGGCTTAGATTTTTTCTTGTTATCTATTTTACTTGGGGTATCCCACGGGACTTATGAAACCAAAGTATTTGTACCCGTATTATGCTATTATTTCATTGGGTACCTTTGATCCGAGACCACGGGTTCATTCTTGACCAAAAGTAGACAGCAGCACTGTCCGTATTAAATGTTTTTTGTCCGAATTAACCAGCTACGGGACTAAGCGATACGGAGTTGTCGGTGGATATGTGTAGATATAAACAGCATACATCTAGATAATGCCGCTCTATACATTGAATCCATCGTAACTCTCAAGGTGTGGCTGTCTTTCCATTTTCTGCTTACCTGCTTATTGGTGACTTATTGGAAATTTGAGGCAACCGGTGTACAAGTGAACGGCTTAACATAAATGCTGGTACCCTTGCACAAGCACCGTAGACGCCATCGACAATATCCTACCATGGAACAATGGTGTACTACGGGTAAAAAGCAAATGTAGCGGCCACCGTTAGTGACGTCTATATATTCAGGGCAATTAGGTGAGAAAATTTCGAGAAAGTACCAGGTAGTGGCACCGTTGTCCTTAATAGTCCAGTAATCCAATATTGTATGATGAGATAAAAAGTATAACTTTGCAAGACCCGCAGGATGGAAAATGTCAAAGAAATTAATACCCAACGTGTTTCAACATAGAACGGAATTCTCAGTAGTTTAGACATCGCACTTTACTCACAAACTTGACTACCATGATCTACTGCCATTTGAACCTTTAGGCTCTAAGGAGTGAAGTGCAGTAGTTTCTGGTTGTTTGTAATTCCGCCATTTGGTATAACATACGTTTAGCTCGTCTCACCTCCAAAGCTCATCTCCTATTGATCCATTTACGTGTTATGCTTCGGATTCAAGTGTTGGTCCAGTGCGACACTCGTTATGGTAAAACTTTTGAGGACGCTTGCGTGACCCATTTAGTTTTGCCTTCACTTCATGAGGCGTTCGCCAAACTGTGCGGCTGGGTGTCCCAGACAACGGTTGTCTTTAAGTTGTGAAGCCTGGAATAGGCAATAATAGCTTTTGGGTTTCCTGTACTTCATCAAAAATATTGGCATAGCATACATAACCAAAGATTAGCACTGAATTGATTGCTATTACCCAGTGGAGAGCCGTGTGCGACTGACTCTACCATCAACACACTGGCCAGAATTAGAGTTACAATGATGGCTTGTTTGAACCGCGCTGTCTGGTTGGTGGATCCACATGGTTCTACAAAACTGCCGTGTGCACGAATTCAAGGAGTTTTGATTGGAATGATGGCCCATTTGCGGACACATTGAAGTTGCGCGTTATAAGGTAGTGAGAGTATCTTTTTGACACAATACTGGAGAACATTTAACGGCATGTTACCGCCGTCTTCGAAGGAATTCGGTGGCGTGTAGGCAACTGCTAAGAGGCAAGCACCTTCTGTGATCCACCATCGATCTTTTAGTTGAAGTCGGTAAAATGATGCGTAGGGAATAATAAGGGAATGTTCGGTAGGAACCACACTTTTCAGCTAATGTAAATAGTAAATAGCAACACCGCCACCGCGAGATAGACGATTATTTTGAATGACTGACATCTCACTATTCAGTCCCCGAGTCTAGTATGTCGTCTGCGAATCAATTTCCAGCAACTTATGATGTTCCCAGTTGACGTTTCATGTCGATGGCGCAGTTCTGGGAGGTTAGAATACGACCCTTAAATGTTGGTATAGCAGCATATTATTTGTTAACATATTGGAAGCTGTGTTTGTCGTCTTTGACTGACGTTTGTTGACGTTATTTTAGAACGGGCATTTGTACGATTGGCTGATCTGAGGTAGGAAATACCGAATCTGGCTTATCTGAACCTGGACTCTGTACTGCTTGAAGGAATGGTCTTAACCGTACTTCTGGTGGCCCGTTTTTGTCGTCATGCCACGTTTGGATTGCCATTTATACTATCTCGGTTGTAGCCAAGGTAATCCTCAAAACAGACACGCTGCTGTGGTACTTTGGGGAGGCCACTAGACGGGTGACGTCAAAAGCCACGATATTTTGCATGTGTGCATGTCGTGCTTTTGACGTTCAATGTTATCGTCTTACTCCCGTTTTAGCATATCATGAACTAGGACCATTTACTGTATCTCCTTTGAAGGTTCCGCCCTCGGACTGGATTTCCGCTTCTGTCTTATTGCCGATGAATTGTGCAGAAAAACGCAGGCACTGACAGAAGAGTTTACCAGAATGGCACTTGCTAAGAGAATATCTTCCAGGCAGTGGCGTAGCATCTACGATTGTCGCCCGGGGCCGTGGTAAACTTTTCGCCCTGAATGTGGGGAATAGGTGCGTGAAGGTCACACAATCGGTTCAACATAAAGGGTACATTAGTTTTCGATGAAATGTTCTATCCTTTGGGACACTTACATGTGATGAAAGTGACCACAATGGGATAAACAAATAAGGGGATTACTGTGAAGAACCTTTACACAAGTGTGATACGTGGTGCAAATGTGTTGTTGATCATACAGAGTAAGGTTACAATCTTCAACCATCATCGTATCTGGATACTTTGCCCTTGATTTTTAGTATCGAAAAATCAACGGTACTAAAAATGCCGCCCCCTGTCACATGCCGCCCGAGGCGGACCCCTCCCCTCCACCCCCTCTATGCTACACGTGTGCTACTATGTCCCGTGCGCTGTCAAATCTTATTCGCAGTAATCGAGGTTTTCCTGCTTGCGGAGATGATAGATTATCTGAAAGGCAAGTAAGACTAGTTAGGAGAAGGTTTAGTCCGAGTTTGCAGGTTATCTTCCCCCAAAGGTTTGCTGATCAGTTTGTCTAATTTGTAACGATTCGCTAGTGAATTCTGGGAATTTTGAATATCACTAACATCGCCTTTTGGTTGCATAGTAACTGCATGTTCTGCGGTTTGTTGTGAGCGGAACTATGTGTTGTAGGTGCATGAATTGGAAGACAGGAAGACACGCCAAAGCTACATCAAGTTTTTATGTACTAATCCGTTAGCCGTACCATCTGTAGGAATCAAGTGTTGTCGCTCAGCTAATAACGGAGGTGATCGTGTAGTTTGTGCATACGACTGCATGCCTATCAGCAATTTCCGGGACTTTGGAGACCGTTCAACCGACCTGTCGTCCCTGCTTTTTGTCACCAATGGTGTTCATTTCTCGCTGAACTGTGCAGCAATTTGTCAGAGAGCTTTTATCTTTTAACTGGTTTGGGATTACAGCTAGATAATACACTAACCTGCAACTCGAGTTCAGAGATCTCCTCTCCCAAGACCGCGACCAGTTCTTTTGGCTTTTCTGAAGTAACAGTCAACATTTCAACCTTATCGTAAGCGTTTGAATAATCCCAACCATGAAACTAGATGAACACACTTCACAGAAGCACAAAATATTTGTTGGTACGCTGCTTTTTCTGTCACCTTGTAGGTTCAAGTTTGTTCCGTCGTAGGAATTGGCGCAGAACGGGTACGGGATTCCTGAGCTGATCTATGTTGCCCGCTTGTCTGAGCTACGACTGATCTTGGGATTGTTCATTAGATTTCCGGTCGACAACTTCTCCGACCCATGGCTCAACGATTCGCATGCACTTGTAGGTCATGCTGCTCACACTGTTTGGACTGTCGCAGTTGTCCGCCCCGGTCAGCAGAAACTGTCGTTGTGTAAGCAGGTTTGGTAGTGGTGCGTCCTCGGCGCACGAGTGGACAGAATCAAACAGGCTTTGTGCGGTAAAATACGCGTAATAATGTTGTGATAAATGTGAGAGCACAAACTAGACTGTAGCAACGGTGTACGGTGGTGCACAATACCAACTTATATCTAGTCTTAAAGAAACTTCGTCGAATGGTATCTCAAACGCACTGAGGAAAGTCAAAAAGCAAGGTTTCATGTGTGGGTACCAGCGAATAAACTGCCAAAGACTTTGTGGAGCAGCAGCCTGTCCTTGGACTTACTTCGAAAAGACAAATCCCGTTGGGTAGAACTCAGTGATCGGAATCCATGGAGCATGCTTCTGAAGATGTGGTTTAAGAATGTGAAGGGATAAGTCCACATCAACACAGAGCACAAAATTATACGGCCGCCATGCAGTGAGCACCCCAGTGGTTGAAGTGAGATTTAAACAATGCGCACTACCCATTCTTACGTGTGGTGTGAACTCCGAGATGTCGATAAATAAATCAAGCGGCGTGACTATATTCTGATAACATGTGTGTGTACAAAAAACATTACTTTTTAGCTCTATTCCCACACCCCCTGCTCGTAACCAAGTTGACTGATTAGAGCTCTTCGTTAGGGTAGCGGCACTCCCAACGAAACAGAACGCAGAGGAACTATCATAAAAATGGTAACAAAGGGACTAGTTAAAATTCCCAAATTATTCAAAATCCCACCTTATTACTCCCCAGTATCAGGTAATTCACAGCAACGTCTCACGTTTCCTACCAGTTGGATAAATACAAAATAGACACGTACAGTCGCTGCACAAATCAGCTCCTTTATGTCCCGTTCCAAGCACCAAACCATACATACCATCATTACTCAGCTTAGTGTCCCCAATATCATTTTCACTTTCTTCAAAGCTCTACAGAGATGAGGTTAATGCAGTCCACTGAAATGACCCTCGTATGATCGGAGCAATAGCAGTGTCTCGGCCTTGACCACCAGTCGGTGCGTATCGGGCAGACACATTGTGCACTACAGAAGAGTAGTAGGGAGAGTTAAATGTTATAGGAAGAAATTCATCACATCTAGGCTCACTCAGAAAGCCGTCACACGCCCGGAAAAGCACTGTACGCGCGTTTCATCCTTTCCGGAATCGTCAGCAGTGCGCACTCCATCGGACCCCTGGTAGAGCTCGAACCCGCATCTCGACTGTTGCCAGTCCCCGTGGTTGAGACCACTGAGCTACGGGGGACGGCAACGACCATCGTGAATAAGTTACTTGATGTGATATAGCGCCGATGGAATGCGCACTGCTGATGATTCCCGAAAGGATGAAACGCGCGTACAGTGCTTTTCCGGGCGTGTGACGGCTTTCTGAGTGAGACTAGATGTGATGAATTTCTTCCTATAACATTGTGCATTGACAGCCAGTCCTGAACAATCAAAACGGCTGTCCGGTATTCTACCGGGTGTGTGGTGTCTGTCTGACAGAGTTTAGCTGTGGCAAGTTTCCTCAAAGACTGACTTCAAACGTCTGATTTGGATACTTGAGACATTTGGATGATTGATAGCCTTAACAACGTGGGAAAATTTGTTTGCAATAACCTGTGATGTCCTGGCCATCGGTGCCTAAATTCAGGTCATTGAGTAGTTAACCTATTCTTGATAATCGTTTCCACCTGATTCAGCTCAGTTGTCATTGGTTCGGTTTAGATTACGTTATTCTTTGCTCCCGCCTGACATCTAATCCATGAAATCCACAGAATGGGAAATATTCTCCGGCTGTTGGCCTAATCCATTCCTGTCAGCATCGAAATGTGCACATGTTATCTTATGTTCACAAACCTGACTAAAAGATGACATACGCTTAAGATTAAAATATGTTTTCTCGCGTCAATAGCATAGTTACCTTATTAACCAAGCGAGACATTTACTTCAATTTGCCTCCTCTGTTTCTTTTAGAATCATTTTTGAAATGCCCTACACTGGAGGCGTTTTTGTGAGCAGCGACTTCCAACCGGCCAAATTAGTGCGTTATCTGACCACAACGGACTATTTCGTAATGGGATGTGAAATTATCTACTTGCTGTTCGTCATATATTACATCATTGAGGAAATAGTAGAGGTACGTTGAACGAACATGTGGTCCCCATGAACAGCTGGTATCGGCATGTTAATTTGTAAATTGTTTACTCCGGTATCAACATTGGAGTCAGCCAGTCAGTGCTTACTACCACTCGATCGGTTCATCCTTTTGGATACAGACTTGGTGAATAAAGGGAGATTCCACAGTGCATTATTTTGACTGACTGTGTGAGCACGTTCCGTCAACTGTAACACAAGGCTCAACACAATTTGCTATTAAATGTGGCGCTATGTTCCCCGCTGTATAAGCTGTCCACCTCTTTACTAAAATGCTCCAAGCAGGTATGAAATCAAGATCTTCGCTGTAACAGTCTTTGGTAAAAAATCATTTCAAACACTCGTGATTCTGGATAGTAATTTTGTGAGCGCTTACTGCTTGCATCTTGGGTTGGTACATTACCCGATAATGGTTCACATTGCAATCGAGTCATGGCATAGTGACTCACTTTGCCCATTTCTCTTGGAAAGCAGTTTTAAGCTTCTAAACCGCATTATTAGACGAATTAATTTGGCACCCAGCTGTTGCTTGAATACTCTGAAGAGTAACTTCTTAACATAATTGTACTACTACTACTAAGCCCTGTTGATTACAGAGGTCCGTTAGTCCTACAAAAGTACACAACAGCGTCCACGTCACACAGGAGGACCGAGCAAAGCACGAGTGAACCATCAGTTCAGGAACGCTCAATAATGTCATGTAACACGACTGAAATACACAAACCAAAAAACGATTAATTGCCGGCCACCTAACGGCCGGCTTAAAAGCGAACACAAACTTGACATCCACCAATGAACTCCTAACCACAAAAGCCCTATCTTGCATGTACACAAACGCTCAAGGCCTTCGAAGCAAGTTGGCCGAACTTAGAGAACTCCATGCCTCACAACCACGAGACCTCGTCATGATTACAGAGACATGGTTAAACCCTGAGATAACCGACTGTGAGATCAAGTTACCCGGTATGTCGCTGCTTCGGACCGATAGAACCGGAATGGGTGGCGGTGTGATTCTTTACTATAATACAAGCCTCCGATGTGAAGTTATCGATCACCCAGAAATCCGAGCTCCCGATTCGCTTTGGTGCCGCCTTTGGTTGCGAAACAAGGACACATGTCTACTAGCCGTGGTTTATCGCCCACCAAACTCAACGTCGGAAATGGACTCCAAACTGTACCACGTTTTTCAGTTTGCTTTGAACAAGTCCTACACCCACATTCTTATCGCGGGAGACTTTAACGTGCACGACATAGAAACGCCGGCAACTGACGGTACGCAGTTTAAAGCCTGTTTGCAAGAACTTATTGCTATCCACCCTCTTTACAACCACGTAACCTCTCCCACCAGATTTCGAACTTCTAACAAGCCGTCGATACTAGATCTTGTGCTAACTAACGAAGAACTCATGGTTGGCGGGATAGTTACAAGCACACCACTGGGTCGTAGTGATCATGTCACTCTACTCTTTGATTATATATGCTATGCCGAGTACCCGGAAAAGGAGGATGATAAAGTGCACACTGTCACGCACTACAATGTGTTGTCCAAGCTTGTTAAGGATACATCTTGGACTTTCTTAATCGAATGCCCCCCAGATCTGGCCTGGGATATGTTTACACGGACTTTGAGCACACTGGTAGCGCAAGCATCGGAACAGAAGTCCTTCCAACCCAAAAACCGGAGTAAGTCATTTCTGAGGAGCAGAACACGTAAATGTATGTCCCGGAGGGATTTGGCATGGCGAAGTCACCAGGGTTGCCCGAATGCCGAAACCTGGACTGCATACGTGACACATCGTAACTTCTGTGTGAAACTGATCCGCGAGGACAAGGTCACGCATCAGCAGAAGTTAATGAAGCGATTCGGCACTAACCACAAACTCCTGTATAGGCACATTAACGGCCTTCGAAAGGTAAAGCGAGGGGTTCCGGCGCTAGTCACAGCTGATGGATACACGCGGTCAGCAATGGAAGCAGCTGATCTCCTACGGCTTCATTACTCTCAAACGTTCCAACAAGTGTCGAGCCCAAACATTCACCTCATTTCTAATACTCCGCCGTTTGGTTTAGAAAACATCACCTTCACTACGGAGGCTGTGTTGAAGAAATTGTTATCCTTGCGTATCCACAGTTCTCCCGGAGCTGATAACATCCGTCCAAAGGCTCTACAGGCAGTAGCTAGTGATCTAGCAGAACCACTGGCTGTTTTCTATCAGCGATGTCTAGAGGAAAACCTTATTCCACCAGTATGGAAGCAAGGGGTCATCACTCCCATCCATAAAGGAGGCAGCCGCACTGATCCTGCGAACTACCGTCCAATAACATTACTTCCCGTACTATCCAAAGTGATGGAATCAATCGTCGCAGACGCGCTGATGCAATACCTGGAAAGCCACAATTTAATAGCCCCAGAGCAACATGGCTTTCGTCAAAAGCATTCGTGTAACACTAACCTATTAATTGCACGTAATAGCTGGACTGAAGCTGTTGATGATGGAGTTGGAGTCGATGTCATCTACCTGGACTTTTCAAAAGCGTTTGATCGTTTAGACCATCGAGTTCTCCTTCAGAAGCTTCGGAACTACGGCATTGGCGATCCAATCCTGAGTTGGATTAGCAATTTTCTACAAGAACGACGGCTAGGGGTGAGAGTCCGAGAATCATTTTCTCACGCAATCGACGTGACGTGTGGAGTACCACAAGGCTCGGTTCTTGGACCTCGTCTATTCTTGGTGTTCATTAACGATTTGGCGAGATCAATTACTTCCGATTTCTTATTTTTCGCTGATGATATCAAGATATGGCGAAGGATCAGAGGACCGGATGACCATGAACGGCTCCACCACGATCTTAACACAGTGTCGAACTGGTCAGTTCAAAACGCTCTACCGTTCAACGTAGACAAATGTCGCGTAGTACAATTACGCCATTGTCATAACTACACCTACATACTTGGGACAAAGGAATTGCAGAATAGCTCCCAAGAACGTGATCTTGGTGTGATCGTACAGAGCGACCTCAACTGTTCAAAACAGGCTGAGGTAGCTGCGAAAAGAGGCAACCAGCACGTCGGCATGCTGCGAAGGGCATTCGGGAGATTTGACCCATCAATCTTCCCAATGATGCTCAATTCCTACGTGCGCCCGCATGTTGAGTACGCAATCCAAGCTTGGCAACCTTGGTTGAAACGCGACCTAGAAGCGATAGAGGCACCACAACGGAGAGCAACCAAGAACGTGATGGGCCTGCGGTATCACTCTTACCACCGAAGGCTGAGGTTGTTGGGAATTTTCAGCGGACGCTATCGAAGGCTGCGCGGCGATCTCATATTAGCGTATCAAATATTGAGTGACCCCAACCACGTATGCCGCCATTTGCTGAAACTTAGCCACAACACGCAGCTCAGGGGTAACTGCTTAAAGTTGAAGGAACAATATAGCCGTCTAGAGTGTCGACAGAATTACTTTTCCCTTCGAGTTTGCAAACCATGGAACGCACTCTCAGACTCAGTAGTATCCTCTCCTACCCTGGATGTTTTCAAAAAACGATTAGATGTTGCCCTCAGATCCCAACATTTTGTTACCTAAGCTCCTCTGTTGTGGATTACGCCAAGCATGTTTTCAACAGGACTAATGTATCAAATGGACCTAAGTGAGCGACCATATTTTATTTTCTCACTCCTTACCTCAACTATCACAGCGCCCCACTGTCTTTCTGAATGTTTACGCGCGATATTTCTTTTTCCTTTTACACTGATGTTAATTATCAAAGTATTCATCTCGGCAGACGTTCGATAGATGACCCACACATATTTTAATTGCATCATATTCACCGCTACCATCCTACGGGACATGTCAAGCACTTGCTTTTATCTCGTGATAAATCATTGTTCATTGTTCATTGTTTCTCTACCAAGTGGTACCATAACACATCTTCAAAAGTAAGTTTAAACTTGCTAGCAGCAAACACAACTCGGAGCTTTACTTCAAACCTCGCTGCTACTAGCCATCAGCGATGGGCACTACGACGTCTCAGGAGGGTTTCAACTAATGCATCATCGTCACTCCCAATCAGCAGACTTAGGCTAGTCTGGAAAAGCACCAGACGCCGGCGTTTCGACTTTCTGGGTCTCTGAGATGCAGTTAGTACCGAATTGTTGATCACTGATTACGAGTTCATAAGATATGCGCTGCCCACTGGCTTGTGAGTAGTGTGCGGTTCCTTCTCATAGATTACACATAAGTGTGCGGTCCACTGGGAGTCCAGAGTTAGGGGAGAATGAATATACTGATCGCTTAACGCACACATCTTGGGTAGGCCGCTTCCGCGTAAACTGATATAAATCTACCAGCGCAACGTCCAGTAAACGTGTGCGGGTAAGGATAGCGGACATAAATGACAGGTCTTTGTCTGGGTTGGATATATGTACCGTACCCCGGACACACGATAAAGATCTGCACAAACACCCTAGCTCTCTTGTTTTGTTTGATGGACTGAACCCACAAGAACCCACAAGACTGAAACCCACCGCCCTGTTTAGACTTCAAGTCATTGTTAGCAATCTTGACGGTCAGACCTACCTTGGTCGTCACACGCACCTAAGTCTGCTGGGTGTAGCATCTCGATGCTGTCGTAGACGCTGCAAACAAATTCACGTAGATTCACCTAATCAGCTTGCAATGATATGTTCACCATTTCTATTAGCTACTGTGCTATGCAAATCACAGCTGCAATTGCTAGATAACATATGGAAATTTGTGTTTTCTGTTTAAAATGCGGTGATCAAAGACAACAAATGAAATCATGAGGTGCTAAATCTATAACACTTTACCAATGTGGCGGTGGCGCATGCTTGACAGAGATGAGTACGTTCCGAGAGATGAACACATAGGGAACGAATCAGGCCGGACGAAACCGTGAGGGCCAATGTGTATAATTTTGTTAGAAGGACATTATTTGCTCACTTTCATTACATTCTTTGAA